AGAGTAAATATTAACCTTTTTTTCAGATGTTTCTAAAAAATTCTCAGTACCTATATCGTTTTTTAAAGAGTACATTGACGGAAACGCAATGGGCAGATTTTGCTAGATTTCATACAAGAATAATGGAAGTTTTCAAAAAAAAAATTGTCTCATACAATTAAAGCACAAATATCGAAGAGAAAACTTTAAGCAAAATATAACTGATCATGTTTAATTATTTAATTCATAAAGATTTTTTGTTTAGATTCCGTTTTAACACAACGAAAAAAAACCCTGAATTAAATATTTTGAAAAGTCTTAAAATTCCAATTAAAGAAAAGTTGGATTGTTTGCATGCCGAAACTTCCTGAATTTCATCTTGGATCGAATCAAAAAGGTCTTCTCACTTATGAAACACAACTTTTCTATTCAAGTTCTGTAGTTCTCCTATATTAACACTCAGGATACTTTCAATTGTCATACACTTTTTTCATGTTCGAAAATAACATTGATTTTTTAAAAGAAAACTCCTGGAATCTTATCAGATATACTCATTAGTATTTAATCTTCAACCCTTTGGTTACGCGGCCCACATATATGCGGCCTGAGCGTTTATGCAAAGTATAGCTTTTACAATCTCCTATCTTGTTTGGGTCATAGAGTGTTCTTTCTTTCTTCCCTGCTTTTAATGTCATGGCATCATAATATGATATCATTATGCATGCATATTAGTTGAAAACAAAGAATTTGGACTCAGAAATGTCTATGAGAATTCATAGGCTCTCTAAACTCAAAATCGTTCAAAGTCGTGTGAAACGAAACAGAAGTTCGTGAAATTGCGCAGAATACCAGAACTATTGGCACGCTGAGGAGTTGCGAGTATTGCTGAAGCTCTAATCTCACGAAAAACCAGAGATTCAATTTTATGAAATCTGTTTTATAGTATGGAGTTACGCGAAAGATTTTTATAAGCGTTTAGATCACTTAACTCGACTTTGTACTATTCCAGAATTTAATTGCGTTGACTGAAGTCTGATGCAATCCATTAATTCACTTGGACTTATATACCCTATTCTAGATTTTGACGAGTTAACTCAAACTTTTTTGCATATTTCTAAAAACCTCGTAATCGAAGAGTTAAATGTCTATGCTAATTTTCTAATAATCTGTACTTCTTAATTCAAAACAATATGCGACGCAGTAACGCTGTGATTAGCTAGTTTTTGTATTCATACTGGCTATTCATGACGATTTTCATTGTAGATGTATTCGAGACAACTCGTCATTTTCCACATCGAATATTCGTTTCAAACTATGATTTCGATTTGATTGTCGTTTAGATACGTATGTTGTTTGAAAATTGACCAAATTAAGCAGAAACATGTACTATTGTTTATTGAGATAGAATGAGTTGAAATCGATATTAAGAAGATGTGCTTTTGAATTGTTTACATCTATATACAAGTTAATATTAAAATATTGAAGAGTCAACTAGTTGTTTTAGAAAGACAATTGAATTTTAAAGTCAACTTTGACATGTATATGTATATAAAGAACAAGAATTAATGATTAAAAAGGATTTCTTTTTGACTCTTAATGAATGACAGTTTGATTTCTAGATTTGACATTTACAAGTGCGATCATTGTCCCATGGTTCATTTTAGTTACTGCATGTCCTGGACCGACACGATTGCCGATTTCTGGACCATCTAATGCACTGAGCTTGACAAAGCTCTATTGAAATTGTGTCGATGCAGCAATATAAATCATTGGCATTCAAATCACCAATGATTTGGCAAAGCATGTACAACTGAATGCAATCACCGGTAGTGTACCATAATCTTTGCCACGAAATGCCGCTAGGAAAAATACAATGGCATATGGAATCCACGTAATAATGAAGCACAATATTATCATAATAAAACCTAGTTAGATGTAAGAACAGAAAAATTCTTTTACTCCATTCGACTTTACCATTTCCTAAAGAAAATTATCTGGCTCAACCATTTTCTAGACAAGTTATATTCCATAAAACTAATCTTAGCATTAAACTTAATAATATTTAACTCGTCATAATCGTAAATCTGCTCAAATACTTTTCAAGCAAATGATTTACGGAATTTCTCAAAGCTTCTCTTGTAAACTTTTACTGTCTCAACTCTATAATAATTCGATTTCTTTGTACAAAAAATGCTTACTTTTGGCAATGCGTCGTTCCATTTCGATTCGCTTTACACTGAATGTTGTTTTAATACTATGCTCAATTTTCTCATGCATTCGTCTTAGTCCAATTATTGTTATTGTATTTGTTGTGGTGAGGATAATCAATAGTATGCAGTAGACAAAGATGTAAAGTGCAAACGTATATGCGATGTATAATGGTCGTTGATCTTGCCAGTTGATACAACATGAAATACGAGCTTGCTACAACAGCTTTCAATGCTTTTCTTTAATCATTTTATCAAATATCTGGCGATTATGTTTTGATGTACAAATACTTTTTCTTTATTTTCGTGGTTAATCGACTTATAATTTTCGAAAAAAGTCATATATCTCACTGTAGCACAAAATAAGACCCTGATACATCTGCATCAATGTTCTTCAATTTGTTCTTGTCAAAGTCTATTTCTTGCAAAAAACATGGAAAAATCCTCAAGTTAATAATTATCGAACTTATACTGTATATTGTTGAAATCTCTTATTATCAATCTTACAAAGTGTCGAATACTTTCTCAATCAAATAGTACTCGATAATCAAATGAACTGCACTGCTTCATCAATTAGAATTGGAGAAAAATGTTGGAAGCAAACCTCTATCGTATATTTATTCCATCCCAGTAGTGGCAAAATTGTCCAGATGAAAATGACTACACATGAGATTACTAGACATTTCGTGATCTACAATGTAATATCATTTTTCTTGTTTCTCTCGAATGACCAATATACTCACTGTGACTATATTTGCATGGAATGGCTGTACGCTGGTGTAGCATCGACTGACACTTATTGCACAGAGTAGATAGCAGCAAGCACATCCGTATAAGAATGCAATAACAGCGTCCAGTTTACAGTCTGCACGTTGAAAAATCCATTGGCAATAGATGGAAGATATTCCCGTCAATGGTAGAATGGTGCATGACGCGAAAAGACCCATTTCCGTGATGAACATGAGAAAGATATTGGGTGGTGAACGAAGAGTATGGTAGCGAATGAAACTGACTACAAGAGCTCTATTGATAGTAATACTGAAAAGAGCGCCAATATATAATATCATTCCAACGGTTCGAACTGCATTACAATTCACCGTTGTTGAGCTACTCCAGAATAGAGAATTATCTGGCGAGAGATTCTCATCGTTGATCAAGGTATAGTTGAACGACATGGCAGACTGAAATACGTTTAAATTTAAAAAAAAACAAGAAACTTCCGAAATTCTTATAAATTTTTGCATAGCATACAGAATTATTCAATAATAGGATACAAAAAGGAGGGAGCGCTAAGTGATGAAATCGGTCAGCTCTCGAAATTGAATTTCTTATTTTTTCAATCGTCAATTCATATGTAAGTAGTCAATGGTCTTTTGAGTTAGATAATTATATCTCATTTTGACCACGCACAGCTAACTAAAAACTCGATATTGTTCATTCTTTATGGTTTGATGCTATATGAAATGTTTCTATGAAAAATTTTCCTCTCGTCTTCAATTATTTTAATATGAATTATTGATCAAATGAAAGCTTTTTCTTTCCTCTATCAAATAGCATGTAATAGTGGCATAAAGTGTTGTTCTTTTTTGCTTTAGATGCCGTTATTCATTCCTATGTAAAGTATGACGACAGCCATCGTAAAGTTCTTCTTCCATTGAACTTTAATAGCAGTAGTCCATTTTGAATTGTATATCATTCGATATACTTTTTGAAGTTCTATAAAATGATAAAATTGTGTTGAACTTTGTTTGGAGCAAGAGATTTTACACAAACTGATAAATAAGTGAATAAATCAAAATGATAACAATTTTTATAGCGGATACGTGTACTCTGAAATTTTATCATTTCAAAAATGTTCGCATTTAGAATTATTATATTATCTATGTGAAAAAAAGTTAAAAATCGATTATAAGAGCACTCAACCACCATATTAGCCTGCTAAACACATTGATTTAATCATTCAGTAAGCTTCTTGAGCACAGCATTTTTTCTCTCAACGAACTTTGGCACATACTTTTGAGTTTTGTCTAACCTTAGAATTCAATTAGTTCATACTTTTCTATGCCCGTCCTATTCTAATTCTGTCCATAGATCTCGAACTTGAAAAGCTTAATTTTAAGTATGCAACTGTCACTTCAGCTATTTAACCATACAGCTATTCAAATTCACAATTCAAATATGCAATTATTCAACTATTCAGCTATTCAATTCACCCATTCAATTATCCAACTCTTCAATTAAAGTATTCAACTATTCAATTATTCTGAATTATTGAATTGAATAGTTGAATATGCTTGAATTGAAGAACTTAATAATTCAATACTTGCATTGTAGTTCAATAACTGAATTCAACTTTCAAGTTTGACATTAGTGATCGATTACGACATATTCAGATTTTTCGCTTCCGAAGATATTTCTATTACTTCAGTCATTATAAAACAAGGACATAGACATGGTCAGAAATATAGACGACGATGTTCTCTTCACCTATATCTTTTGTTTTTGAAATTCGGCTTCCTGGTCTGTATTGCATTGAGTGTAATGGAGGTGTTAGCACTTCTGCCGCAAGTATTTCAATTAGCCGATGACGCAACTACAGATGTCTCTATATCATTGCTGATTTTCATCCGACTTAATGACTCAGTATATAAGAAGAACGAATAAAAAATTGTCGCTGAAAGAGCCTTCCGACTGTTTGCATCATCACCAGCTAATTTTTGAGTTATATAAGTCGACCTTTTTCTTTCGTCAATAGCACATTGCATTAAGGTTTTACGCAGGTATATATAAATTGAATTAATACAGTACTTCAAAATGAATGAATCGACTAACGAACAGACGATAACAACGTCGGAAGAAAGTCCAATATCAAAGTTACGTCATTTCATGTTTCCTACTGTCTATCCACATTGCTACCGAATCAAGGTAATCATTAACGGAGAGCAATTATATCCCATAGACACCGAAAATTCAACATTACCACTCTATCAACTGCTTGACAACATCATTCTTGATAAATATTCTGATTTCAATGGAGGTGCTCAAGCAGCTTGTGCGCCGAATGTTCGTGATAGTGAACATTATGATATTGAACCTTGGAGTGATGTGTCAACTAACTTTATACCTCCGACAGTTTATTCACTTAGACTAAGTGACAATGAAGACGACACGAAGGAAGAAGGAAAGGCGCCACCTGCGGCTAAAGAAATACTGGTGTCACGACTTGTGCACCTATTAGGTAATCAACGCTACAACTATCGTTTGGGTTGCATCAACAATCGTAGTTTTAACTTTCGCCGGTCGGATGGATCGGTACATATTGGTGTTTTTCCACAATGTGAAGAAGATAAAATTATTATGAATATGCTGGAAGACGATTATATCAATTCAGTCAATGAATTTATTGACCTCGTTTTAGAAGTTCTTGCTGGCAATAATGAAAACGAACATTTTTCTCTTCATATGGCAGCACATTTGTGCGACTGTTCAATACAAGCAGAACGTGATGAATTTCTCGCCATTGTAACGCCAAAAAATCAATGTATCATTATGATTGGACTCTTCTATAATCGATTCTATTATTGATTTTTACCATCATACATAAATTTAAAAAAAAAAGAATGGAAATATAATAAATTGTCTTTTTTTAGAAGCTAAAGTTAGCGTTGAATTTCACTTTTACAAAACGGATCAATGACATATTCGCTAAAGACTAGTACAATCATCCGTTTTGTTGATTATTAATTCTTAAAAGTGTAATGCAGAACACTTTTATGTGCGGCAAAAGATTAATTCTTATTATATGCCTAAGATGTTGCTTGGATGCTATTTCGAGTGGGATCTTTACAAACAAGGAACGTACTTTGTTCAATAAATTTGATCACTTTAAAATAGCACTAATTCCCCTCTTTTTGTTCGAGTGATGGATGTCCCATTACACACGCAGACAAAAAGGATGTGGGTTGCGAGTTTGCATACGAGTGAGTATTCTATTCATTCACGCCCATATCCACACTCATCTCATATGTTCCAGTTATTTACTGTTTTCCATGATAAACTTGCAACTTGCCAATAATATCTGAAGTAATAAATACTTTATATAAAACATAAAAGAATAATAAACATCCAAATTTTTTCTGTATAGCTAATTGACTACAATTATCAAAGGTACTATAAATAATCTCTG